TGTTTGTTGACGGATGGCTCCCTATAAATTATTGTGCTTTGTGGGTAGTACGTGGACATTATGAAATTGCCTGTATGGGCTGAAACATTCTAATATAGAAATGGTGATAGATACACCATGACATTTTTGTTAAGCTTTGTTTACAGACAGACTTCATAACGTTTTTGCTTACTTTTTAGCCCGCAGAAACAATGACAGTGCTCGTGCTACTGCTGCTGTGCCTGACTCCCTCCACGGCAGGTCATCAAGGTCACCAGGACAATGGGGGCACCACCGTCACTGATTTCCATGACCCCAAGGTCACACAGGACGAGGCGTAAGTAACCAACCCGTACTTAATTTTATGAATAACCAACAACCATGTCCCTCAGAAACAAAAAAAAATCATGTTTAAAAAAAAAATGTTACCATTATTTCGAATATAATCGACGTTAGTCACGTACTGGACAACTAGGTTAAAAGTACAGATCCTCGTGTGTAGATTTGAAACTGCGGTTGTCTCTTATTTTTGCCGTACAAAAATGCCTCCTCCGACTGAACCCTTACTTGTCTCTTCCCTGCAGTCATTTGAAGGAGCATCTGAAGGACCAGATCAACACGGATCGCCAGATGACGCCACAGGAGATGGAGTTTCACTACTTTCGGTAAATATCTCTATTCGTTAATTTTAGCATTTTCGTGCAGAAGTACGAATTGATAAATTCTGTGATTTATTCCAATATATGAATAATTTGACCGAACAATAACCTCTTCAGACGTTTTAGACATTCTACAAATACAAGGTCAAGGTCGCAGTCAATCTCGGGTCTCACAAACTCGTGTAAATCTAGATATGAAAGTGTCATGATACTCTATTATATCATTATAGCAGCTACATGTCTATTTCGAAACTTCTAATATTACATTGATTGTACTAACTGTTATAACCCGAGGAGTATGTACACGTTATGACATGTCATTTAACTCATTCTGGAAGAGATAGCCGTGCCTTCTTCACAAAATAGTACCACGTTAAACATGAACAGGTTTACAGTCGATAAACTGAGGTTTCCGGTTTTGACAGGTTACACGACACCAACAACGATACTAAGCTGGACGGACTGGAAATCTTGTCGGCACTGACACACATGGTACCCGCGGTGAAAATTAAAGACAACGAAAAGTTAGGCAAGACGGGGGAGCAAATACAACTGATGCAACAGCAACGGTCCGAACAGGCTGTCAAATACTTCACAGGTAAGGGATCAAAGGTCAAATACTTTACAGGTAAGGGATCAAAGGTCAAGTACTTCACAGTTAATGGGTTGGGTCAAAAACCTCACATCCAGAGATGTGGTGAAGGGTCAAATACTTT